AAGATACAACCTTTCTAGAAGGATATACATGGCATGTTACAGGAGTTTACTAATCAACCGCCCCCCTTCGACCCTGCTGCGATCCTCCTACACCACACGACTCTACCGAGCAATGGATATAAAAAACAATCACAATTAGGATCCTTAATGTAGCAAAACAACACCCCAACACTGGAAAAGCAAAGAAACACCCACACTGGACAAATGGTTCACTCAGATAGAAGACTTGAGGGCTATAGAGGACTTACACATGAAGTCAACCGATAAGACACAAAAATACCTGAACATCTGGGCACACTGGCTGCTGACCACGGCAGGAGAAGGGTTTGCTGGCAAACTCTACTATTAAGATGACATTCCTTACCACACCAATACGCACTAAGAGGGTAGACAAGACCCGACACTGGCCTTTCCCATCCTCTTTCTCTTCCTCCCCACTATCCCACCCCTCTTTCCCATCCCTGATATCTGTTAAACAGAATCACTGTATAGGCCCCAAATGATCGTAAGCCACTAACATATGTGACTCTTCGCTATGGTTCATGCATATTTCAAGGGACCTGCATGTCCTGCTTATGCTATACTATGTTATACGATAGAGACTTGCACGTCTCATGCAACGGTTTAATTTCGACTTATCTGAGACCTGCGAGTCTCCCGTGCTTGCATTTACTGTCTTATCATAGGGACCTGCATGTCCCACCTCTGAGTGATGCCAAATGTTATCTTGTGAATATTGAAAAATAAAAACATTTGCAAAAAAAAAAAGATATTTCTGTAGTGATACAAGTTGAGAACTGAGCAGGAACCAACTGAAGGGCAAGATTTTGGAATTGATGTCCAACTTTTGTAGTCTGTTTTGATTTGTTTAAAAACTGTCTAGATTATCGTCAAGTAAAAGGGTAATCTACACATGGACCTCTTGCTTATTGTGCCTAAAGGAGTTTCAGTAACACCTCACTAAATAGGCTAACCAATGCTAAAACATATTCTTGGCTTTGATGTATCTCTCATGAAGAGGGAACCAGCCACCAAAGAGCAAGTTATTTGAGTTGTTAGATCTCAGTATTCTCTTGCACTGTGTTTTAATTTGTTTGAAATGTTAAACAGACACATTTTTATTTAGTTATATTTTGGTCAGGGAAAATTCATTGTAGCGGATGGCCGGTGACTATCCACCAGAATTATGTTTTAAAAGACTGTTCACCT